AAAAGCACTTTCTTTCAAGATAAGATCCAATCTTCCTATTCCAATCCCAAAAAACTATTTTCAATCTTTTCCACCCTCTTGGAACCCCCCAAAGCCCCTTCCCCCTCCTCCCTTCTGTCAAGCGACTTTGTTAACTACTTTGAAAAAAAGGTTGATGATATTCGCTCTTCTTTTTCTGACTCACCTTTACTCACCGCTGGGTCACCAGACCCTCCTTTCACCCACACACTAACCTCCTTCTCCCCTCTCTCTCCAAGTGAGGTTCTTACCCTCATTACCTCTGCCCGTCCTACCACCTGTCCTCTGGACCCTATCCCCTCAAACCTCCTTCAGACTATCGCTCCTGATATTCTGCCGTTTCTCACCCATTTCATCAACACTTCTCTACCTTCTGGTCACTTTCCAAACAGTCTCAAGGAGGCAAGAGTAAACCCTCTCCTAAAGAAACCCACTCTCAACCCGTCTGATGTTATAAACTACAGGCCTGTCTCTCTCCTCCCGTTCCTGTCTAAAACACTTGAACGCGCTGTCTTTAAACAACTCTCCTGTTTTCTCCATCAGAACAAGCTTCTGGATCCGCACCAGTCTGGTTTCAAGGCAGGTCACTCAACAGAAACTGCCCTCCTTGCTGTCACTGAGGAACTGCACACGGCTAAAGCAGCCTCCCTCTCCTCTGTCATCATCCTTCTGGACCTGTCTGGTGCATTCGACACGGTGAACCATCAGATCCTCCTTCGCACTCTCCAAAAACTTGGAGTTTCAGGCTCTGCACTTCCCCTCCTCACCTCATACCTCGAAGACCGCACCTACAGGGTAACTTGGAGAGGGTCCGAGTCCGACCCTTGTCAATTAACTACAACTTTTTATTTGCTATCCTGGCTCCAAAATGGTGGAATGAGCTCCCCATTGACATCAGGACAGCAGAAAGCCTACACATCTTCCGGCGCAGACTAAAAACTCATCTCTTTCGACTCCACTTCTTAGAGCAATACAATTACTAACAAAGCACTTATATACTAGCAAAGGACTGGCTTATCTAAAGCCAGTTGAGTAGCACTTGAAATGTTTGTCTATGAAACTTGATGTACTTATATGACTCTGTTTTCTTCAAGTTTGTATCTTGTTGGTCGAATGCACTTATTGTAAGTCGCTTTGGATAAAAGCGTCAGCTAAATGCAATGTAATGTAATGTCTGTGGAATTCCCTCCCAGACCACCTGAGGACTCCACAAACCACTGATGCCTTCAAGAAAGGCTTAAAAACCTTTCTTTTAAAAAAAGCTTTTGATTAAACTTTTGTTTATTTTGCAGGTGCTTTATAAATCGAATTTATTATTATTATTATTATTATTATTATTATTATTATTATTAATGTAATCAATAATTAGGATCCAAAAATATAACGTATATTATTCTGAAAGTGGCCAATTTGTATAATGAGGACTTTTTGTACCTTAGGTATATCTGGATGCCGATAAATGTTTTGTTAAGTCATTCTTTATGCAGGACTCAAACTTCAACAGTATTTCTACACTGTGGTATTTTTATGTTTACTCAAGTACAAGATCCGACTCTCTTTTTTGCCCTTGGTTGAAGTCATTTCATGAAAGCAGCCTTTGTGTCGGACAAAGATGAGAATGATATTATTATTGTTAGGAACATACTAAGAATATATAAACTAACCTATAGCAGTGTGTTCATTGAGTCTGTATAGGGACAGTGATATGCATAGCTGAAGCAGCATGCACAGTCTGTCAATTTGGGGTCATGACAGGATTTCCCCACACTTACCCCAGGCTGTCTGCGTCGGGAGCCTTTGTCATGTCGTCTCCCCAGGCGCTCCCCCTCACGGCCCCAGTTCACTCCATCTTCCTGGAAGTAAGGCAGCTCCAGCAGCTCCTCACAGGACAGACGGAATGACGGGTCCATCACCAGGCAGGACTGCTCACACAGAGTGAACATAGAGGGTTGGTTTTCAAAATATTAGTTATTTCAAAGAATTGGACAAACTACAGTATGTAATGGCAACACTTGTTCAAATGAGCTCACACATAATAGCCTTAATTTTCTGTAGCACCATTTCTTGGTTTATCTTTATTGATCCGAAAATTTAAAATTGTTTGTTACAGGGCATTGCACATGAGTTAAAAATATAATAAACAAAGAAATAAACACAAACCTGCATATCAACAGTATATATAGAGAATCTATTGATCACAATATAAAATATACAGAATAAGTTAGGATACACTGTAATAAATCATCTTTAAACTGAAACAAAATATATAAACCGTATACAAAATAAATGGAAATGCTATGAAGTAGAGTTTGAGTACAATATGAAAGGGGAAAACTGGAGTGAAATCTGGTTAAAAAAGAAAACGATGTATTATATATGTATATAATAAAGAATACATACCTTCATAACTTGGAGGGCATAAAGAGACATGCCATGGAAGCACTTTTCCAAAGGCTCCTAATAGCAGAAATAAATGGAAAATGATGACGTCAAGAACCCTTGGCCTCCCCAATAATAACATGTGCATTCTCAATGGTAACAGGATTCGTACCGTCGTGTCAGGTTCAGGAATACTGACTCCGCTGAAGAAAACATTGGAGCGGAAGACCTGCTGGTGCCGGGGGATCAGGTCACCTGAGGTCAGAAAGGAGATCAACAAAATCATCAATCAGTACCATTTATTTTATTCAGTGTGTCCATTTCTGGGAGTAAATGGTTAACTAAGCTGAAGAGACTTTTCAAAAATGTTTAACCAAGATCTATGCCGGTTAAACAAACCATGTAGAGCAAAGTCCACTGAAGAAAAGCCAAGTTTCCTTGTGAGGTTTTCTTAAGGAACAGTTCAACCCCAAATCAAAAATACATACTGTTCCACTTACCTGTAGTCTTATTTATCAATGTAGATTGTTTTGCTGTGTTGGAAATATATATATATATAACACAGGTTTATGATACACGTTCTGTTCAGCAGAATAATCCTCACATATTAACACCCCTTTGGGATTGTTGAAGCGTCAATGCGATTGGCATATATAAATGGCTAACATTAGGCAATAAACAAACTACATCACAGTTGCATGGCTGTGAATCACCACCGCTAAGCTAAAGGGGGAATTATGTTGGGGTGATGACGTTAAGTAGATTCATTTACTCACTTGTTAGCAACCGCCGTTTTAAAGACACATCAAATCTTTGGACATTCACAAGTGGGGTATTTTACTGGGGTATTTTATGTCGTTAAACAAAACGTACAAATCTCTTCAGCTCGTGTTAACCACAGACCTTATTTCAGGCTTCTAACCACAAACACGTTCAATAAACTGTTGACTTTGAGATGAGGGAACCGGAAGAGGTTAAATGCTGTCTTTTCCTGGTTTCAGGACTAATTACTGAACCACTCTATTGGCCTTAAATGTGGGACTTCTCTCCGATATGATGAAAGTATATGTACTGTAACTATACGCGGTTCTTACATCGCCCAAAAAACACACTTTGACCCAAATACTAAATATAGTCCACAGACCTGTTGTGAGCAGTTTCATGTAGGAAGCATTTTCTTTCGACCAAACTAAACATGTCAACCTGTCTCTCTCCTTATGTGCAGTGAGACAGTTGGCAGGTATCTCACACCAAGGTCTGAGGGTTATCCTTCTGGAAAGAGATATTGCTCTTCCTACATTATAGTTCATTTTAGTTCACACAACCTTTGATGTATTTGCCAGTTTGACTAAGCTTATACTGGTGAAAGCTATTGTATTAATGATCAATCAACTTGACCAAGACTGCTCTAAGGTAGATATCTTTGTTTGTGGAGTAAAAGCAAGACAAATCCATCATTAACTGTTGAATTATCTCGGATTTCTTCATCAACTTAAGAACTGAACTACCCTTAAATCCATTCACTAATCGTATTAACTGTCAATTAATGAATGTCTGAATAAACCCATGTTGAGTTTGGCACCCAAAAGCAGATTATTCCTGCTAAGAACCCATTTACGTGGCCCCTCAGTATACCTAGAGTTTTTCGGATAAGGTAGAGCTGGTCAACATCAGACTTCCCGGGCCAGAGTGGATTCCCATTGAGGAGCTCAGCGAAAACACAGCCGAGTGCCCACATGTCCACAGGGGGCCCGTACTGAGTGTCTCCGACCAGCAACTCAGGGGCCCGGTACCACCGAGTCGCCACGTAGTCTGTGTAGTCGTCCTCTGGTCCTGCTGAGTAGGTGGAGAGAGATAACTTGTATGTACACACATACACTTAGAATAATGAATACTAAATAGGGTACATTGTTGAGGAGGGGATTATAAGGCATGTTGAATGAGTACATGTTAATGTATGGTAACACAACCCAGAAACCTAATGCACGAAGGGTAAACAGAGACACCCTACACAGAGATGCACTAACTGCCTGAACGGTCCCCATATGCAAATCATTCATTGAAAACATTGAAAGTGAGGAGGCCGTCGGCAGGAGGATGATTCCGGTTTCTTGTTGAATAAGTCATTAGAGGTAGATGCTAAATGCACATAAATGCACTCGCTTTCTGGATGACCTACTCAGAATGCGGGCGAAACCGAAGTCGCAGAGCTTGATGACTCCGGTTTTGGTGAGGAGGATGTTCTCTGGCTTCACATCACGGTGGATACACTGCAACATAAACACTCAGTATCAAGGATTTGGCAACGTGATACACAGTCTCTTAGTGACATAGGAAGAGGCGGATATTAAGGCTGGGGGATTAGGAATGGAGGAACAATGGCAAGAGATCAGACACCAAATATTGAAACTGAATACCGCATTGCAGACTTAAATGACTCCTGATGGGGAGTAGAAGGCAAAGTTTGAGTTCCGGAATTATTCTTAAAGTCCATGAAATGTCCAAAATAAACGTTATTCTGTGTTAATAAATCGCTTCATCACTTTCCACTGTTTCATTTGACATATCAACATCAATGATTCTTTCCATAAATACCCCCCAAATAACATGAAATGTGTGCCACTTTCCCGTGTTATTCCGCTCCGGTAGCGAAAAGCTTGCCAGCCATTAACCCAGCTGTGTGACGTCACACGTGGCAAACACCAGCCTCGTCTGGATTGTTTGTTTTGTATCCTTCCGCTATTTTCGCTCAACATATGTGTAACCGGACCTCGCTAAACTTTTTTTATCTAACAATTCATGATGGGGAAGCGATGTGTAGTTGTGAGCTGTGAATGTTTCCTGATTGCTATAAACATTGATCATGGGTGCTGGAAGATTGTGCACAAAACTCGGGTCAGAATTAAGTTACTACAGGTGTTATGCCAGCTTGAGCTAAATGTCACCAGAGTACAGTGAACTTGCCTAGTGACTGAAATATATAAAAGTTGAAGTGAAATAAGTAAGGCCAAAAATGAATTACGTCTGAATATCTTTATTATTTTTACCACTTTTAATTATTTGTGGGCTCGCACATATACCAAAATAGA